TTTGTTGTGTTATAATTAACAACAAATATTTTGCTATTTATGTTTATTTTGTTGTCCGTTAGTTTTGGCAAAAATTAAATTTTGGTCTGCTAACTTGTTCATTGTCCACTTTTGGTACACTATCTTTCCCTTCATAAAAAATAGTCAATTATGTTACATTTTTCATCAGTTATAGTACACTCATCCCGTGGCCCGGGATTACGAGATAACAAATCAGGTTTTTATCCTACCACGTCAATATCATATCCCTCCACGTAGTTCCAATCTCGGTCCACGCCATCTCGTAATCCCGCCAACTGGAGTAGTGCACTAAAACTGATGAAAAGTGTAACATAATGGACTATTTTTTACGAAGGGAAGATAGTGTACCAAAAATTGACAACGGACAAGTTAGCGGACCAAAATTAAATTTTTGCCTATTAGTCTTCTTTGGAGTACTTTACCTCTATTCTTTTTGGAGTTCTTCATGAGGTTGTCCCTTTTGTGGGGAGTTATTATGATAAATTCTCTTCCTAGTTCGTAACTCTATGTCACTTGACAAAGAGAATGATCGTGTAAACATTTGGTTACCAATTATATCGTATTTGAGGTTATTAACCAGCTCGAGACATCATGTTCTTCTTCCAGTGTTTCCTTTCTCTTCGATGGAGAGAAGGAAAGAGGCCTAGTGCGGACCGAGCACGCTGCTCGAGGGTAGGAACTTCAACCTCTTGCTCCTCTTCTTTTTTTCTTCTTGGTGGCTTTCCTCTTTTCCCTTGGGACCAGGGCGTTTCGTCCTAGTCTGGATGGTCTTTTCAGGAAGCTCAACGGTTGTCTCCTTCTAGCCAAAGGGATCGAGCTGCAGTACCTTGGGCGTCTATTGATCAGTAGTGGCTTTTAGGTAATTTTTATTTGAGTCAGGATCAACGACCATCGAGCTGAAGAGAGACTCTGCAAGGGGATAAAAAACACACGCGAAAAAGAGACAAGTAACAATTTGAGGTCGTGTGTTGTAGCACAAATTATTATTTTTTTACCGAGTAACGAACTGAAAGATTCGCTCCCCGGGTCGATCTCACGAGGAAGGCTGTTCGGAATTTAATTATGATATCGATAACTCATAAAAGCAAAGAAAATCCTAAACATACTAATCAAATAAGGATGGATGAATTATAAGCTAAGAATCAACATAAAAATAATAATCTACTTGAAATACGAACGAAACAATGAAAAAGAAGCTAGGGAGTCGGGGATAATTAATTCAAGTTCTAGCAAAACCGGGCAATCAATTGTTCGGTTCGAGATTGACACTCTCTCTTAGACATCTAGCGGTTCACTCCCAATAACTCTTCGTAACAAGGGATTGAACATAGACGTACAAGCTCGAGCATACAATACGGGTCAACTATCCCAATCCCAATAACTTTTCGTAACAAGGGACGGGTCATCGACTCGCACGTATTTCAACCAAAAACCTATAGACTATTCAATTACGAAATCATCTACCTCATGTGAGCCTATTTCTACGACTTCTCCCCTTTCGGTTCTGAAAGTCGCTAATTTAACTAGAAGAGTATTAATCGACTAATCACATAGAATCAACAAAACTCTAACTCGACTAATCAATATTCAATTATTTCTAATTGCAAGATCGAAGTGTCACTCTTCGATTATATCAACCAATCAAACAAGATTCTATCAATCCCTCATCAAAACAACGCACATAAGCATGAACGAATCGAAGCCCGACAAGTACAATTCAAACAAGAACAATCATCCCCTATCCCTAGCAGTCAAATTTAGCTACGAACCATGAATTCAACAAAATCAAGTATTTCACCCCAATTAATCATTCACATGAATTATAGAAGATGAAAAATACTTACAATCAATCAAAGGGTAGAATCCAAAGTACAAGCTTAAACCCTAACTAAGAAGAAGAAGAAGAAAATTGGAAAATAAAGATGAAGAGAAGAGGAGAAGAGAAAAAGAGAAGAAGAAGGAGGAAGAACAATGGAGGGAGGAGTCGATTTTTGGAGCTAGGGTTCCTCCCCCATCGAGCACCCTCCTCCTCTCTCGTCTACGGTGAAAAAGATGATGAAAAACTGAGTTTTTGGGTCTTGGGTTCGATCTAATATCATTTCCCCATTCAAAATCCATGAAAATCGCGTCAGTTACAAAACAGGCCTTAGCGCCGCTAAGGGGTTAGCGGCGCTAAGCCTTCTTAGCTGGTTGCCTCTGTCCCGCTTAGCTGCCAAAACCCCGCTAACCACACAGGCCTTAGCGGCGCTAAGGCCTTCGGCAGCTTTGCGCGTCGACTTTGTTTTTGCTCGTACGGGCTCGTTCGGACTCGGAATTGAGTTCCGTTTTTTCTTACGCGTCGCTAAAGAGCCCCTCTTTCTAATGGTGTCAGCCTTCCCAAAAGATTCTCGAAAACCTGTTCTCCCAGAGTCTCCAAACTACACACCAAAAACGAAAAGAGAACAGAAAAAGACCAGAAAACAAACGGAAAACACCGCAACATTCAAAAGAACGCAAAACACATAATAAATGACAAAAAGATCCTAAAACCACCTAAACGACTCAATACGGGGGAAAAGGAACGGAAAAAAAACAACGAAAAATACAACAAAAATGGGACAAACAACTCCCCCACACTAAAACCTTTGTTCGTCCCGAACAAAAAGAAAAGAAAACAAGACACGAGCATTGATACCTTTTCAAATAAGAAGAGTCTCAAAATGCCCAATTCAATCGAGTCGAATTCCAACGAATGTACGACCATATGCCTCAAATATCAACTTTACCTTGAAATGACAAACTCTCAAAACATAGATCATCATATATGCCTCACTCATTTTATTACATGAATATATGATAGCTACGCTCAAAATTGGTCAATATTCAAGTTTCAACATATGCTTGCCAATCGTTTAAATTACTCAAAAACAATCAAAGCTCAAAATATGCGAATCAAGAGGACTTCACGGGTTGTTATGTAGGCTTGGGTAAAGGTAAGAATATATATAGACAAGAAGCTTAGATAAACGATCAAAGTTCTCGAGAAATAGACTACTCGAATGTCCGCTACTTATTAGAAATCAACCATATAGTACATTTACCATCCACCCAAAAACTCCACAAACAACACCTATATGCTCTAATCGAATTGCAACATTACTTGACCTAATTTTTTATTTATTTATTTTTTTACCTTTTTTTTTTGGAGAGTAACTTTTTCCAAACAAGAACGAATCGAAAAGACAATATTCTGTAAGTGAGAACATTGGAGGTCATCCAAGTGTCCTACAGTAGTTTCCCAATGCTCATTACCCGTCAACATAAATTGACTAGTAAGAGGAGCAGAATCCATTCGAATCGTCTGTGAGCTCTCATTGATTTTTTTTTTCATTTTTTTTTTTATTTTTTTGAGTAGGTCAAGCAATAGAAATCCGACTCAAATTAACCGCATTCAACATCAATACCATTTTCACCAATCATCACCAATTCAGTCAACAAAGTACATCACATATACGGCTGACAAGAAAAGGGCTCAAAGCTCAAACGGGCTACTAGGGAAATTAAAGTTTAGGATCAAAGAACAAGGCTGAAAGAGAGCTAATCAACAAAACGCCTCAATCACTTTCGCAATTTTAAACTCTAATCAATTCCTTTCAAACACACTCAAGGCAAGTTCTAATCATGCAAGAATATGACCAATATCTCACAAGAAGAAAAAGTAAGGCTCAACATCTCACAAGGCAAATAGATGTCACTCAAGGAAATTAAGCAAATACCGAGGCAATGACCATACGTCCATCACACAACTTCCCAATTTCATCAAACATTCCTCAACAATTCATATTATCCACCAATATCACATGCTCAACAACACAAAATTCTAAAACTATATCGGTCCACCATATAAGCATGCAAAATCCAACTAGACTCCCCCACACTTAAAATGAGGCAATGACCTCATTGCTTCAACTCAAAACAGGAAGTCAAATACTAGGACCAAACAATTTCATATAGCGAACCAATACCAGCAACTACCACAAGCACACAAAACTAAAAAGAGAAGACACGAAGAAACTCAAAAAGATAAAAATAAATAAAAGGGTGTGCAAACCGAAACGCCTCGAGGAGAGTAAGTATCTACGTGTAAACAGCTCGCCTATGCTCAACCCCGCGAATTCATACCTGCCAATAAGAAAATCACGAAACTCCAAACTCCCATTATTCCAGGATAAAACTAAAAAACGAAAAGAAAAATATCTAAGAAAGCAGTAAATCACTTGGGTTGCCTCCCAAGAAGCGCTTGTTTTACGTCATTAGCTTGACAAAACCTGAAGAGAACTCATCCAGGGTCCAGAAAGAAGTGACGGTCGTGCCATGCCTTTGTGTTTTCCAGAAGTGGTAGCATGGG